TTCCGATACGATTCATAGGAGTGGTTGCTTAAGCCCTTTTGCCTTTCAGGCTCAGGGCTAGAAGGCTAGTGTACCGTCTAGGTAAAAACCCGACTAGTGTACCGTCTAGGTGAAAACCCGACTAGTATACCGTCTAGGGGAAAACCCGACTAGTTTACCGGCTAGGTAAAAACCCGACTAGTATACCGTCTAGGTAAAATCCCGACTAGACCCTCTACTCGTCTAATACCCGACTGGACCGTCACAGGGTGTGGCAACTCGGTTCTAACCCCAATTACATGCACCCGCGAGGGGATTCGCCGTTTTCCCTCACTCCCCTGGCTTCAGGATAAGAGCGGTTAAGGAGAATCTCGAAAATCGCGGGGCCCACGAAGCCCATAAACACAAAAGTATAAAACCCAAAACCCTAGAGCTAGGACGACAGTTTTACACTTTTGAATGCTCTGGTTTTGCGGTTTGACCTAGGAAAAAACCCTAGTGCACCCCGTGGCCGGAACAGTTTCATTTTTCACCTTGTCATGTAATAATGATATTTAATCTTGTAAACTTATTAAAAAAGATGAACACCAATAATAATTTCAAGAAAAATAATTATATGATAAAAGGTAATAATGATGTTTAATCTTGTAAACTTATTAAAAAAGATGAACACCAATAATAATTTCAAGAAAAATAATTATATGATAAAAGTAAAAAAGATTCGATTAAATCATAAATTATATAGATATAGTCTTATAATTTTGTTTTGTCCAACTTTATATCGGGAAAAACATAAAGTTCACCTATCATAAATCATTAAAAAGAGTCATCTATCATTTGTTCACATATTAAGTCCAGTAGTATTGGATGTGATGGAGTGTATTGAGAGAAACTCAAGTTTCACGTTGACTAAAAATAAGACAACTAAATAATATATGAATATGAAACAATTTTTACCTTACAGGTCAAAATTGTAAGTTTAAATTAGGCCTAATCTCACATTATAAGATGATATCAAAGTTATTTAGATTCACTCTAAAAGGGTCACATACCATCTAAAACAGACTCGTGATATATATACATCAGTGTATATATTATGAGTCTTTTATACATACATCAAATCCAATAGTGTTGGACGTGAAGGGATACATCAGAGAAAAAAAAAATCAAAGTTTTTTCTATGTTAGATCATTAGAAAATGTCACTTACCATTTATCTACATACAAAATTCATATTTAAATTTATTAAATAGTGTTATGAGAGATTTAAAATTGGTTAAGAATATTTTATACACATAATTTGGAAGAAGAAAAATGAAAACAATTGTTTTATTTAATTATACATAATACATAAAATAAAGTAGGCACATATTTTTAAATAAATTTTCTAAACAACACAATGTAAGATGGGAATTGAACAATAGAGAGATGAATATCTATCAATAATGCAATTCACATATAATTGATACGAACAATATTTTGAATTGTGAAAATAATAAAATAGTCTTTTATTGTGAATTTTTCAAGAAGTAAAAACTATGGGGAAAAGGTACTCAAATCTTGTTCTAAATATGCACGTTTTTTAAGTTACTGTACTATTAAATGTCATCACCATCAATCTATCATTTATAGAGAATACACAAAAAAAACTAATAAAATATGAAAGAGAATAGTAGATAAAGAGGAGAACACAAAGTGAAATAGAGAACACTTATAGACTAATAAAAGTCTCATAAAGTCTATATAAAAAAAAGTCAAATAAAATTCATTAAAAACACATAATTGACATTGAAAACTGTTAAAGACATTATATTTTTAATTGGCATTGACAATTTTATTTGAAATTAATAATTTAGTTCTAAAACAAATAGAAAATACTTGGATTCTAAATTACATAAGAGTTTAAAAAAAGAAGTGGACACAAACTATGTAATTTTGACTAGAAAAATTCTTGGTATTTTAAATCTTTGGTATTTGAATTACTTTGATTTTAATTTTTATCATTCTTAAAATATTTTGTTTGGATAAGTCAATTCAAAATTTTCAAATTTTAAATTGTTGGGTTAGATATGATAATTTGATTCTACCATGGTAAAACTATTTTTAAAAATATATTTATATGTTGAGATTTTTAAATTAAATTTTATAAAAATAAATATTAGCTAATTTTTAAATATTTAATAATTTAAAAAATTAATATTAGATAATATTTAATAATTTTAAAAATATTTTTGAATATTCAATAATTAAAAACATGAAGAGATAAGAGATAAGATAAAAT